TCGAAAAATAAAAAAACAAAAAATTGAAAAATAAATAACGAAAAAAAACAAAAAAAAAGGAAATTATTAAAACTAAAAAAGGATTAAAATAAAAAACCACAAAAAACGACAAAAAAATCGAAAAAAAAATAATAAAACCAAAAAAGAAAAAAAGAAAGAAAGGAAAATGATAAAAATCAAAAAAAGAAAAAATATCGAAACGAGAAAAAATGTTATCAATTTTTTGAAGTAACCTTGAATGTTAAAGCAATTGAATTCTACTTATGTATAATAAGGGATTGAAAAAATTTGTAGATTTTTTGAAGAATACGCTTAAACTAATGTGTGCTATCATTGATGGTACAATGGCAAGAACTTGAAGAATATCTTTTTCTTACAAATCTGAATTCAATTGCTTGAATTCTAATAGCAGCAATCTGGGCAAATAATACTTGTTAAAAGTTATGCGTCTAACTGATTATTTGCTTTATTTCTTTCTGTTGAAAGTTTAATGTTATTTTAATCTTTTATTACTTTTGTGCATTATAATTGAGTTTGTAATAATGAATTTTTAATGTCCCTTTCTCAAGATTTATTAACGTTTGTTAATGGTGTGAAAGTAATTGAATTTCAAGTATGGATATGGAAATGGAAGAATTTTTTGATCTCTGAGAGATTCGCTATATTGATAGTGCGTGTTATGGTCAGAACATAAAAGAATTGTGAGGTAAATTTTTTTGCTGTACTTTGAATTCAATTAATTATTTTGATTCCTCCGTTTTAATAGCCCAAATAACAATTATTGAAAGTTAAGTTAGTTGTTGAAAGTTAAGTTCTTCAATCACTTTTGCTTATTTTTTTCTTTAATAACACTGTTTTCTTTTCAACTCATCTAATTCTCTTGTATTTGTTGTTGAATCCTGTTCTGTATCCGGTACCAACTTGTAGTTAGTTAATTTTATAATATTCAATGTTTAATAGTAGTTTTGCTAGATTTATAATGACTTGTTAATCCTTAGTTTTGATTGTAATTCAATTAATGATGTCTATTCTACATATGCGGCAGTGATTATAATTTTTATGTAACGTCTTCTTGATAAAATTAGAAAAATTTTTTGTCAACTAACGTTTCAGCTGGCCTTTTCATTATATGTGATGAATTGCTAAGATTGGAAATGATGATATTAATTATCAGTTTATCAGCTTTACATGTGTTACGAGTTGGTACTAAATTTAGTAACTACTGTAGGTAATCTTTCCTTAAAACGAACTGTTGTTCTAGTTTGAAGTATATTTTCTTGCTCTTAGGTAAATGACAATTAGGTGTGCCTTTGAGTCTACTAACTTCAAATTTCTATATTAGCTTTGAATTTCGTGAATTTTTATATCATTTTTTGAAGTTTTAAATTTATAAGAGTTTGAACTTCTTCAGTTTTTTTTCATTTTTAACTTTCTGTCCCTCTTCATGAACTTTGAATTTTTCCTGAAATTCTTAGAGTTTCTTATCTTTTTCCAATTTTTCAAATGTCCAGATTAGTTTTTAAGTCCTTAACTATCAGATTAATTTTCAA